TACTAGATCCTGCAATCCCTTAAAGCTTAGTTTTCTGCGTGGGTTCAGTTTACTGCGTGGGCTACTTGGGCGCACCCGTTAAACCTGTGGTTTGGAGGTAGTGGGTGGAAGATTGGACCTATGCCAGTCCATGTTTGCGTGTAGCATGTCAACCGCTGTTTTTGCAAGAATGACGTAGCATTATACAAGTTACAGATGTAGGCAAACTTATCATCCTGAGTAAGATTAATATGAAGTCGAGTTAAGCCTCTTCAGCTGGTGGTTGCATACACATATGGTGATGTAGCAATGTCCATGCATAGTCCAATGCTCGCGTGTGTGTGTGTGTGTCTGTGTGTCTGTGTGTGTGCGCGTCTGTGTGTGCGTGTGTTCTAACACACACACACATATATATATGTATGTATGTATGTATGTATGTATGTATGTGTGTGTTTGTACTCAAAAGAGCTATGTACCACATCGTTCTTCTTTTATGAAAAATGCGTGTTTCTACACCCGTCTATATCTATATCTACATACATATATATGTATACATGCAGAATATGGTTTATCATGTATGCCTCGAGACCTGGAAGCCGCACTCCCAACTGCTGGCTGTCAAGTGCTTTTGCGGCTCGGCGGAGGAGGAAGTCGACTTGACGCAGGTGGCTTGCCTGGATCATGAGCTACGATAGCCCTTCTCCTTTAAGGATGCTTGGGTGAACTTCTTTGATGCTGGCGCTTTCAGCTGCCATACTTGTCGCTCTGCACTGATCAGGCTGAGGACCGACCTCCCTGAGCTAATGCTGGCCCACCTGGGTTTCCCGGTGGGCTGGGCTGTGGCCAGCATATTGATGATTTCTACGGGGATGCAACTGTCAAAGGCCAGAGCCCATCTAGTTTTCCGTAGGCTGTGGGCTTTCCGAAGCCTGCTAGATTAATGTCGTTGACATCGCTTTCCCGCCCTGCGGCAAGGAAAAGCTTGCTAAGCGCACTCGCGGAGGGTTGGAGGGGATGCGGGCAGGCAGTGGACGCTCCAATGTATGCCAAGCACATCCAAACGCTGTTTGGGGTTTTGCTCGAGACGCAGGCGAAACCCCTTGCCTGCTTTAGGTCAACATGGAAGCAATGCTGCAACAGTCCCGGCCAAGCGATCTGAGATCTGAAGTTTTGTTGGATCTCATGGCAATGGAAGAGTGTTCTCTCTGTAGTTCTGTCCTCGGGGTGGAAAATAAGATTGAGCGGCAAAAACCTAAGCCGAAACTCCATGCCAAGGACTCTCATCCCAAATAGCACTGGATCCTCTGTAAACGTGTGAGTCTTGCCCATGGGGCCCGAACAACGGGATGCCGTCTGGCTGCGAGCTGAGAAAACATCACGATGAGAGCCTGCAGTAGTGGAATTTTCAACAAATTCTGCTATCAGACTTCTCATTCGTTGCTTTGTGTTCAGGTTGTCCCCGGCCACAGCGTGATGCTCTGGGCGCAGGCTTTGGGACGTGAAGTAGCCGCAGGATGGACAAACTCGACGAGTCGGCTAGAGGAATTCCGGGCACTGTCTTTTCATACGTGGCGCTCGATCCATTCAGGCTGTGGTAATTGGCAATCAAGGGCGATGTCTAGTTCCCGGCCAGGCCTTGGCGCTTGGCTTGTACGTGGGCCTTGGGCAGCAGGTCGAGGTTCGGGGGGAAGTCGGGCAGCGTGTCGGGGTAGCAGGCAGGCACCAGGGCGAATCCATCATGTCAGCACAAGCCCCGATGCCCCGCGATGATCTCCCAACCTCCGCATCCGGTCCAGCAGGACGATGCCTTGCGCGTGCACTTCACGGAGCAAGCGCTGGTGCTTGAGGTCCGAAGCCAGGCGATCATCCCAGGGGATCGGAACTCGACCTGAGCTCATTCCGCTGGGCCGTGCTTCGTGCAGGCTCGACAAGTGGCGGAAGGCTCCAGCTTTTCGAACCTTTCAGGCGCGATCGGCCACGTGTCTGACTTCACAGATTATTCTTAATGCTTGCAGTCAGAAGTCACAAAAAGCCAGCAACAGCAGAGAAGAAGCACCATGATGGTTCTGTTGATGCTGATGCGTATCAGCACCGGGAGGATTAGTCTTGTATGCTGGAAGTTGCCTCCAAGCATGCCTCCAAGCATGCACCTGTCCTGCGAAAGGGCCGCTGTCTGTCCTTCGGCTCTTGGAGTCCCAGCTGGCTGATTTAAAGGTCGCTGGGCCGGTTTTTGCATTCGGGGGGGGGGGAGGTTAGATGCCTTGGAGGCCTGGAGAGTTTCGAGCCTCAACAAGGGATCCTCAGGCCATTTTGTTCAGAGGTACCACGGCTCCGCTGAAGTCTGGATGCCTTGCACACGACTCAACTCAAAGTTGCCGAAGCAGCCAGAAGTTGCTGCGTGCGCCAGCGGTGTCGAGACTTTTCTGTCGCAAGGGTCGAGACACCATCGTTGAGCTCAAGGCCACACAAAACCTCACAGAGATTCGAGCTGAGGCCGCGATGCCTGCATCGACAGCCGGTCATGGATTTCCTTTCATTTGTTGCTCATGCTACTGCTGCTGTTCGTCTGCGTTGTAAAGGAACGTACTGAGCCGTCATCGAGCACCAGACAACACCATCGCGAGGCTGTTCAGCTCGAGTGCACTGCAGACCACTTGCTGGTGGATCTGTCCAAGGTGGCCGTCTCTGCTGATTCGCGTGGTGATTCTGATTCTAGTTGTGATTGCTGTAGCGACCTCTTGATGTCCAAGCAGCCGTGTGGTCCAACAGAACAAGCTATCGTGCAATGGGAAATTGACATGTCGAGAAGTTGTGTTCTTTTCTGTTGGCAACTCTTCGCGGCACCGACGAACATTTCTCTTGGAGTTTCTCTTTCTTCGTTATGATGATGGTCATGACTGCTCTTGCCTCTCAGGTGCTCGAAGCTTCCGAGCGGCTGGCCCTGGCAGGGAACAGGACCACAGTTGAGGATTTATTGGCTTCAGGCTTTACGCTAGGGATATTTGGCGGTTGAGGTGAGATCGTGGTGGATGGCTTGCCATGAAGTTCCTCTTAAGTGCTGAGGCTGTCGAAAGCCGACCTCGGAGCTTCAACTCTACACTGACTCTACACCCTAAATTCTCTCCCAAGTTGAGAAGACCTATAAACGTTAAAGCCGCTTAGCTGCAGGACCACTGCCTTGGGGGATGCAGTGAGGCCGGGCTTGGAGTGTCACTGCTGAAGCGGGCAGGAGTGACGAGCCAGTAGTGCGAAGTGCTAACATGATGATGAGATGGCAGGTTGCCACGAGTCATAGTTGTGAAAACGGCCGCAGAGTCTGATCGCCATTCCTGCGAAGGCAGTCCAGAAGCGAGAGCAGTGCACATGCGGGGAGCCGGCATCTGAGTTTTGAGAACTGCTTCCACGACTCGATGGGTCTGCTGCCCTGTATCGAGTTGAGCCGAAGGCCTCAAGAGTAGCAATCATCCAACCTGGTGGCTTTGCCACGAACGGCTCACGATTTCTGGAGGTGGAGCTCACAGCTGTGGCGAACGTCACCGTCTGCGCCGGCGCCTGCAACAACTGCACGAGGAGGAGGGACCCGAAAGCCAAGCGACCGAACAGCGCAAAGGTGTAGGTGCTAGTGCACATTCGTAGAAGAGGAACCGGGAAGATTACGACCGTTCAGACCGTTCAGATGCAGCCGTATGGCTGCGCTACATTCACATCAAACGCCAGATACGCGTGCTTGGGAGCTTTGCACAAAATCATATACCTGTGCCTGCTCGCATCAGGCTCGCAGCACGGCCGCGGAGAAAGAAGACATGGAAAGGCAGGTGCTCAGACGCTGCCGTGCTCGGGAGTCGCTTTTTTGCCCCAGCTCAGACCGTGCGACGCGTGCTCCGTGCGCGACATGTACATTGCTGTCTCTCTAAAACATCCTGATCGGCCTTCTTGGGTGTCTTGAGTGGCGTTTGCGGAGCTGGATGATGGGGGAAGGGCGTTCATGAGGTTCAAGCTTTGTTTCGTTCTTTTGTGCCTTGAGGCTTTTCAGTGCCTTTGTCAGATGACACCACGTACGATGCAGTGAGCGAGATGCAGGCTCCTCGGCACGATGCAGGTGCATGTCTCCAGGATCCGGGAGGCCACAATTCTGTGTGTCTAATACTTGAATCATGTGCTGTCGACGCTCTGTGCTAGAAACATATCACAATGACGCTGGTGGTCGTCATCAACAGCCTTGTGGGTAGAGGATGCAGTTGCTTTGGCCGCTGCTTTGGTTGGGGTGGGGGTGATGGTGGAGCTGATGGTGGTGGTTTTGGTGGGGGTGGTGGGTGTGGTGGTGGTGGTGGTGGTGCTGCTGCTGCTGGTGGCGGCGGCGGTGGTGGTGGTGGTGCTGCTGGTGCTGGTGGTGGTGGTGGTGGTGGTGGTGGTGGTGGTGCTGCTGCTGCTGCTGCTGCTGCTGCTGCTGGCGCTTCTTGTTGTTGTCGTCGTTGTGGTCGTCGTCGTCGTCGTTGTTGTTGTTGGTGGTTTTGGTGGTTCTGGTGGTGCTTGGTCGTCGTCGTCGTTGTTGTCGTTGTTGGTTGTGGTTGTCTCTGTTCTTGTACCGTGGGTTGTGGTTCTTGCTGGCACCGGTGGCTCTGACTACAGCCGTCACTGTAGACCGCTATCACTGGTCATGTTGGGTAATGTTGGGTATGCTGCTCCTCTTCAGGTTACCAGTAGCAGTGCTATCCCAGTCTCTTGATGGAATTCTTCTTCGCATGATCAACGACCGCCCTGCAAGTCAGGAGGCCGTGCAAGGCCGGCGTGCGCTCAATGCGACGCGGGCGCTCGAGGCGGGTGGCTTCACCTGGCTTTCAGGTTTCAGGCTGGAGCCAGGCTCCTTGAGCTTTGTCGGTGGCTTTGTGTCACGTGGGTGTCACTGGCCTGAAGCTGTAAAATTCCGACTCGACAGCATGCATAGGATCCTTATCCTGACTGTTGGAGATCTTAAGTTTCCCGATGTGCAAGATATGTTTCGTGGAAGGCTCTGGCTAGCAAGGATGTTCTGGAGAAGGCCATATTGGGTTCGGACACGCTCCGTGCAGACACCTTGGAGCTCTAGGAGCATGGCTACCAGAAGGCGTTGGAAGAGCTCACGCATCTTAACGAGGTGGTACACGCAGCCTGGATTCGGTTGGACATGCTCTGTCATCCGATCAGTCGAACTTCTGCGCCGCAAAGCAGCAAAGGCAACGAGACGCCGGGAGCACCGGCAGTCAGACAATGGTGGGCAGCTCATGGGGTAATTTTCTCCCTCACTTTCTCAGACTTTGCTCTGCTTCAGGTACCCCGAGAAACAGGCGCGGACGTCCGCGTCAAGTGGAAGCCTTAGATAAGCGATGAGGCTTGTTCTGGCCCTGGCAGGTCCGAGCCCAACGTTGGCTCTGGAAACGCATCTCGAGAAAGCGCGAGAGACGCGGCAGAGCGGGCGCGGGTGGTTGAGACGACTCCACGATCCCGTAATGACACAGACTTCGGTGTGGAGAAACTGATACAAGTGCATCTCTTGCGGGCGCAGAAGCCCGATGAGAGCTTCCACAAGGGTCGGCAAGATGCTCGAAAGACTCCTTGTCACAAGCATAAAAGCTCACTGCCCGGTCATGTAGATGGCTTTCCGGCAGAACCGGATCTCGGCAGTACGCCGGAAGTGAGCGCAGAGCCTTCAACCAGTCCGACAACTACGACCTCTGTCAGCACCTCGACAAGCATGACACAATCATCCACTACCCCCCAAAATCTGCCAGCATCCATGCCCCGGCAAGAGGACAGCGCCGAGCCCGAAGAAGACCTTCCCAACCGGGCTGTTCCTGGAAAGCCTGATCCGGCGATCGACGCTGCCGCAGAAAGCATTCACCCAGAGGACGTGCCTTCGAGAACACCGCCACCCACCACAACTTTGCCTAAGCCGCCACGAATTCACGAGGCTTGGTGAGCGTTGCTGTCATGCTCGGTTTGATGCGCAGGTGTGCAGTGTCCCTCCGTCCCTCTCTGACTCTCTGACTCTCTGACTCTCTATCTCTGTCTCTGTCTCTCTATCTCTCTCTCCTGTGCTGGTTTGGCAGGAGACATGGCCAATCCAGTACGAGGATGGCGAGTGGGGCACAAAACGAGGCCCAGAAGCCGACAGTGGACTTGGCCAAGGGCCTCACCTGCCATGCCTGCGGCCCGCCTCTTGTGGCCTCCACCACAGGACCATCCTTTCCCGACTGGTACGAGGCCAGGCCGCAACTGCTTCATTGAACTTCATGGAGCTTTGCGTCTAGCGGGCGCATTCTAGCGCTGTCTGCAGGAAGGGGCAGAATGGTGTAATTCAGCGTCACCATGCACGGGTGGGTGGTTGGGTGAGTGGAGGTTGGGTGGTGGTAAACAGTAAGGTGCTACGGCAGTGAGGTGGAGGCAGGTCCAACACACCTCCCCCGAGGGCTCGTGGGACGTCGTAGGCTTTCAGGGCTACGCTCACTACGGTCCAGGGGCTTACATGGGTCTCTGAGGGCTTTTTCCTGCGGGTGTTCGCTGATCAGTCAGTTTGGGAGTCTGAACCGCAACCACAGTCGAGTTCGCTACAAAGTCACAGCTGCATCACCGCCTTGCAGATAGACTGCCGTGATCCTGCCCGGCCCCTAATCCTGCATACTCGAGGCATCGCTGTCGACTTGACTTAGAAAATGCTCGGGTTGGCCACGACTGCCACGATTCCGGGCAGCTTTAGCCTTATTCCGTCTGGTTCCACAAAGGCAACAATGGCAGAAGTTCTGAAAACTCCAGTCCAACGATATGCTGGCTGGAACTTACAATAGAAACATCCGGGTGAGGAACGTGACGAACTTGACCTTCGCTAACTGACATACTCAATACAGTAATACACCTCTTGCTGTTTTTGACCTCGCCTGGCCTAGCATGGACCCCGCAGCAGGAGCAGGAGGATGAGACAACCGTACGGCAAGTTGTGGCTCGTGCAGAGGGCGACCTGACATCCTGAGCATGAAAGACCTCAAACCCGATCCCCCAACAGGGCCAAAGCCATGTCGAGTACGTAGAGGGGCTGAAATTTTCAGGAGGCTGACTGGGGGGAGCTCTGGTCCGAGCAGGACGGTCCCCGCTGTTGGGGCCAGAATTCAGAGGATGTTTTCTTTGCACGTGTCTGTGGCGTCATGTTGTAAAGTTAGGTGACTTCGACAGCGCATGCCCCTCGTGCATGTTCGTGGCTGTCCAGGAGCGGCTTGCTCGGCAGCTCCCCGACCTCTACCGGCGATGGGAGGCGGCCCAAAACCACTCTCGCGGCATGCCGGGTCCTGAAGCGGGCTCACGAAGTGCCAAGATGCGGTCTGGATGCGCTGTGCTACCACCACGAGTAATGTGGCCACTGCTGCTTCTACCCCGCCCAGCAGGTGGTAAGGATGAGGAAGACCCCGCTGAAATTGTCGGCAGATGTTGGGGTAGGCATGTACAAGCGACAACAAAGGTGATGTTGTTGTTGATGATGATTGGAGCGGTGATGGTGACGAGCGGCTTTTCATATCGGCGCTCATCCCCTCGCAGTAGTGGTGGTAGCAGCAGCAGCGAAACTTCGCAGCTCTTGCCGCTGTTTTTCTGGCTCTGCTTCTGGTCATTGTTCTTCTTGAATGTTGTTGTCGTTCGTCCGCGTCACCGTCATTATTCACGTCGGTTTATCGAGACTGTTGCTACATTGATAACGATCGGCCTGCTAAGGCTCAAGGCGTGCCTGGTAGCAGAAGACGCTGAGCGCCAATTGCGCGCAGCTGTGGACTATCACTTGAAGGCCAGGGTTCCCAAAGCTCTGCGACATTCGGGAAGAAGGCCGTGATAGACAGTAGTGCCGGCAGCAGTGGGAATTAGACAGTACCAGACAATCCGCTGCTGCGAGTTGAGTAGTGAAGTCACACGACAACAACATCGGTAAGTGTGAGTCGTCTGCACACGGTCATGATCACGATGACAGGCGCATCGCACATTTGTTTGCACAACTTACGTTCAGACAGCTCCAACTGGAGATTTTCCTTGCACGCTTTGAAGCCCGATGGTAAAGGCCATACAACTGGTCTCGGTGCATTTCAACGCCACGAAGGCCTTTTGCTGCAGGTGGTGTCCGAACATTAAAGCCCGTGTGGTGTAAAGGGGCCCCGTCCTGGGATTCCAAGGCCACGGGCCCCAAAAAAGATTCTCAAGACTCTGGCCCCTAAACTCTTGCCTCAGAACTGCAGCCAGGCGAAGCTGTTGAGGCTCCGGGGGCGAGCGCGGATTGCAGGGAACTCAGCCGTCGCAGTTACTGTTACAGCAGGTACTCTAAAGCCTGCGTGGTAGTGGGAACTACGCGCTTACCTTGGACACCCTCTGCAGGCCCGTGATGCACTGGAGCGGCTGTCAGGACCTTAACACGTTGCCATGCAAGCTCCGTATCTTCCGATTGCCACTGGCTACTCGCTGTTCTGTTGCAGGTTTGGGTGTAGCGGTGTCAGGGATGGCCGTTACAATGCAGCGCGGGTGAACAGGAGGGTGATGTTGCCTGCGCAGGCAGGACAAAAACACTATCAACCCTTTGCCGCCAGTGGATACAAGAGCATGCAAGCCGGTGCTTGCCTGTGCTTTTCAGGCCTCGATGCCGCCATGCCGGCAAGAGGACAAGGCCCAGGCATGCCTGTTCTGGGAAGAAGGTGAGGTGTTTATCGGTTCACGCTCTAAGCATTGCGGCGCAAGTATCGATGCCGTTTCGAATCCACGGACGGAGCAAGACGCCGATGCTGAAGTCTTGCACCGATGAAACACTGTCAGGCGCGAGGATCTCGAGACGAAGCTGAAGGAGGACTTGCGGCACTTGTTTTTGCTGGGCTGGCTGATCGCACAAGGACTTCGGATTTCGTGCGAAACACTTGCTGTGCTATGCTAGCAACTAATGCGGGAGCACCACGGTTAGCAGAAGTGCAGTTGTTGAAGCCGTGACATGTCAGCAGTTGATGCACAATGCCACGTGACATATCGGGCAGATGTCAAGCGATCTACCGGACATCCTTGCCTTTGCCTTTTTCGACACCGCTTATCATACACACGTCTCATGTTGTCATGCTTGCTGTCTCTGATCTTAAGTGCATCGCATGCCATTGCTGCAGTAGTTGCTTTTTTGTCCCTTTGCAGAGCTCCCTCTGCATGAGTCCAGGCCGCTGGCCACCTCGAGAGTCTGCGAGCGCAGGTCAAGGCCACTCAACCTGAAACAGCTAAAAGGAAGTCTTCCGCGAGTCCTTTGCGAATCTGGTGAAAAGAGGTTCTTGAACTGTTCTGAAACATGTGCTTATTGCACGATCATTGCTGTTAACATCGGATCCAGCCTTTCTGTCACCTGAACTCATTAAAGAGATGATGAGGATGTGTCAGGATGACGATGGCGAGGGTGATCAGGATGAGGACGCCATGCGCCGTGACGACACCAAGGACGATCATGACGATGCCGATGCTGCTGCTGATGACGATGTTAGTGGCGAGGCCGGCGAAAACGACGAGGATGACTGTGATGACGACGACGGCGACGGCGGCAGCGGCGGCGGCGCTGGTGGTGATGGTGGTGATGATGCTGAAGATCAGGATTGCGTTCCAATTGATTGTCATCACTATGATTAGCAGGGCAATGCAAGCGACCCATTGCAGACGCTGCTCGTGGTACTGCACGATTGTTGAGTTTGAGGCCCTTGAACTGGCCGTGGCGCCCTCCTGGAAGCAGCTTCAGGCACAACGAAGCCTGCATGTCCTGCATACCCAACCCTCCCACCGACGGAATTCTTTGAATGCGGAGGAAGTCCTAGGAAGGGCATGCGTGTCGGCTCGTGCAAGGCCGGCTTGGCAAACCTCCGAGCCCTTAGCCCAGCGCATCGTCAGGGCCCAGGCCCAGGCAAGGCTTCGGCTTTGCTGACGTCCTAAACCCAACTCAGAAGCCCTCTCGGAGGTTCGAGGATACAAGCCAGTAAGAGCACAAGCCTGCATGCATACTTGTGGCACTGTCACGTCCAGGGTCGAATTTGTTCTTCCAACGTTTCCACGACTATCGTGCAGGTCCTTCAATTTTTCTTTGCCTGTCAGGCTTCCCGGATGCTGGCGAGAGGAGTGCTTGATGCGCCCAGGCCAAAAAAGCAAGGGTGACAGTACCTGGGCTCGTTGACAAACCGGGGCTTACTTATTCAGGACAATACATCAAGGGTTTCAGACGACCCACAATCCTTCAGATGGACATGCACTCCTAAAGCACGAGCCCGATCACCATCGCCTGCAGCTTTGCACAAGAGTCACAAGAGCAAGCGACATTCAAGTCTCGTGTGCTGATGCGGCGTCGGCCCTCTTGGCATTTCAGCTGCTAGCTGCAATTGGCTTCAGTTCAGTCTCCCGATCACTAGCTACGCACCAGTCCCCGCTGACCCATTTCGCGAAGTCAGCCACGAGCGCTTCAGTGCGACGCACAGTACAAATGGAAGTTTGCTGCCATGGCCGAGTCTGCTGGCCTATACCTACCGCCGAGCTCGACGGTAAAAGATCTGGCGAGGCTCAGTGCCCTTAATACCTGACACTTAGCACTAGCCTCACACCAGTGACCGGCAGGAGTGATGCCTCATCGCGAAGCTTGAAGCGAGAAGAAGACCGCATGCCAGCAGCACTTAAAGTACCTTTTCTTCAACCACACAGTCTTCTTCCTGCCACCGTCTGCAGCTGAGGGCTCCCTGCTGGTGGTGCTGTTCCAACCTTAGCGTTGTCTGAACTTTTTGCCACGCGGGCCGTGGGTGCAAACTGAGGCGTTGCGGCGGGCCAACACGAGCCCAACTCGATGCTCGGCGGAATATGGTGGTATCAGCGGGATGCAGAGCCCATGAGAGCAAGAACGGCTCAGATCTGCAGCCAAGGATCAGCTCCGCCCAGTCAAGGCCAAGCAGCCCCGGCCCCACAGTGATCGTCTTCATTTGGCGACATGCGTGATTTTTATGTGCACAAAAGCCATGTCGTTCGCAGCAACGGATTAAAAGCGACGACAAATATCAAGAACCGATCCCGGATCCCTGGCTGCAAGCATCCACACAGGCTCTGGTCCATGCCGCGACGACGGGGTCACAAGGCCGGGGCCCCGAGGTTGCCTCTGTGGTCCTCAAGAAGTTGACGAACGAATGGAGCCCTTAGAGCCCTTGGACCGACTGCTCTTCGTGAGAGTCGGTATGGGAGGCCTTCAGGCTGCGGCGGTCGAGGCCCTTGAGTCCGGGGATGCATTGCCCCGAGTTCCAGGGGGTCTCTGTGTGCACCGTGCTCGCTGTGCTCGCTGTGCTCGCTTCGCTTCAGATGCCAAAAAGCTCAGATTCATCGTCACCACGCTGAGGCGACGGGCAGCGATGCCCCGCGCGCCTCCGAGTCGAAGCTCCGGAAGGCACGTGCTAAGCAGAAGACAGCTCGCATCGTCGAGGCTTGTGGAGGAAAGCTTGGAGGAAATCTGCAGCCGAGAATGGTGATTGTGATGTCAATGGTGACGACAATGATCATGATGATGCTTGTGGCTGTGGAGCCCTTCTTGGCCACAGCACTACTGACAGTGGCTAACATGTTTGTGAGTATGATCATGATTCATCCTACTGGATGTCTGTGCCTGTTTGAAAACAGGCCGCAGCTTCGGCGCGCGAGGAACTCGCAGACTTCTTCAGCGACTGGTTCGGCGCCTTGCGCCTGCATCACAAGGAGCCTCGACAGTGAAGAGTTTCAGCTACGAGCACGAAACCCCTGCCTTCCAGGAGGAGGAGGAACTCCAGGCTGTCAGAGCGCGGCCAAGAGAGGCCGGTCGAGGGTGTGCAAGCAGCGCAAGCGGGCTAATGTGTTCAGTGCGAGCGAGAATCTCAAGCCTTTCCGGGCTATGCCAAGGCCCGGTTCTTAAACGGTGTCATGGTGTTGGGTCGACCCCGCAGTTTACAGCTGGCATACTCTGGTTATTGTTTTCAAGCTGCAGCACGTCGGGATTTAGTTTCTGATCCTCAACCTTCAAAGCACATTTCTGAAGGAGCCAGCCCTTCAGAGTCTGAAAAGCTTCGCGGCCCAGAGGGCCTTGCAATAGGTACAGAAACCAAAGCCGACGACAAAGTGACTCAAAACGTCTGAGAGAACCTATCCTGCCCGGAACTCGAAGGGGCGAGCCTCAACCCTGAACCCCAAACCCAAACCCTGGACTCTGAGCCCATTGAGCCCTAAACCCCCGAAG